TTGTTGAAAATAGCTAAAGTAAAATAAAGTAAAGTAGTAGTAAAGTAAATAAAGTAAAGTAGTAGTAAAGTAAATAAAGTAAGTAAAGTAGCTAAAAAGGCAGAAAACAACTGGAATTATCAGAAACCAGCTAAAAGAAGCATAAAAACCTGAAATTAGCAGGAAAATAGCTAAAAGTAGCTGAAAAAACTGAAATTAGTACAAAGATGCAGCAAGAGCACGTTTGCTGAATTAAGCAGTAAAAAGCTGAAATTATCACAAAGATGAATTTAGATAGAAAAATGCTTAAATTAGCTGAAAATAGCTACAAAGTAGCTAAAAACGCAGAAAACAGCTGAATTTTGCAGAAAAGTAACTAAAAAGAAGTTGGAAACTTAAGATTAGTACAAAGATGCAGTGATTGTTGAATTATGTAGTAAAAAATTTTAATTTACAAAAAGTGAAAATAGATGAAAAAGCTAAAATGATGTGAAAATAAAAACAAAGTAAAAAGGCAAAAAAAACAGCTAAAATTATCAGAAACAAGCTTAAATAAGCATAAAAGCCTTAAGTTTGCAAAAAGAAGCTGATAGAAGCCTAAAAAGTTTAAATTAAGAGAAGAATAGCTGAAAAGCAGAAAAAAGCTAAAATTAGCACAAGAAGTTGAAAGAACAGAACCAGAACAAAAGACACAAAGTGCAGTAAAGGTTTATAAACATTTTAAAGTGTTTTAAGAGGGTTGAAAGAGAACAAAATGGCAGAAAAAGCTAAACAGCAGAAAAAGTAAAAGTTGCTAAAAAATATCAGAGCCCCATAAACGAGCTGAACGTATGAATTGTTGAAAAAGCACAAAAATCGTGCAACGAGTTCAACGCTGAGGAGTAGTAACGGGAATGCAGAGATTTATATCCAATCATTACTTCCTGAATGTTTCACTGTTTTCTGTCCAGTGCTTCATGAGATAYTTTGCTGACAGACACAAACAGCAGCAGCATCACTTCTGGCAGTGAATGCTAACAGCAGCTGTCAGGAAACAAGGTGAAGACATGTGAATAAAACCTGTTTCTAACAGAGGACGAGACACTTTCTACAGATGAAAACCTTTTTTATCTGACTTATTGTTTTGTTGAGTGAAAATATGAACATCTGTGTTTGCTGTGAATAATGGCTCACCACACAAAGACCTCTGACACACACACTCACACACACACTCGCCCTGTGGGCAGGGTGACATCATGTTTGTTGTGAACTGGGCGGCTCCTCCCGACTGAGGATTAAAACCCGACTTTGCCAGAAGTGGTTCAGGGTTTTAAAGATGGACAAAAGCCCAACATTCCCACCGCATCATTGGCCTCTCACAGCACAGAGATAAGCAAATCTAAACTGTGGCCCCTCGGGGCCCCAGAGGACTTCAACCCCTGAGCGGCTGGCCCGGGCAGATTTACTCTCCCAGTCAACTGGAGGTTCAAGAAAAAGCAACATTCTTTCACGAGTCAGCATAAAAATACTCCCATCGTATTTCCTGGAAGGTCGTTCTTGGTCTGGGAATGTTTATTTAAATAAAGGCCTGCTGTCTGTCATTTCTCATGAATCAGGTCGACTCCACAAGTTAATTAGTTGTAGATGTACGAATGTTGATTATTTCCTGGGAGTTTGATGAAAATCAGTTCATGATATTTCGCTACTGGTGCCACACACACACTCATGTTTGTTCTTCTATCCTCATGGGGACTTTGCACTGACTGACTGGTCATTTCCACAGCCTAACCCTGACCCCTTACTCTAAACCAAACCCCACAGGTACCTTACCTGACCCTAAAACTAACCTAAACTCAATTCACAACCCAAATACTAGAGTTCACTGCCTAATACTACTATCTTTATGGGGACTTTGCATTGACTTCCATTCATTCTTACAGCCTATCACTGATTCTGTACCCTGAAGCTAAGCTCACAGGTGCATAATTAACCCTAAATCTAACCTAAACTCAAATCACACCTTAGTCCTAAACCTAATCTCTGACTCACCAATATGAATAGGCTTAGGTCCCCATAAGTAGCAGTTGGTTCCCRCTGAGTAGGAAATAACTGCCTGAGCTTCAGAAAAAGTGAGGACCAAGACAATGTCTTCACGTCCCAAAAATGTCCTCACTTTGTTGGTTAAAAACTATGATGGGATGTCCCGATCAGATCGGTGGCAGATACGGCCATTTTTTTTGAAAATCTGGTAGAATCGGATTTAGTCATGTGATCGGGCCGATCCAGTTTTCAGCATCATCGTGCTTTACAACTGCCGTCAAGAAGTCAAGACACACACAAGCATGCAACCATGTCCACAGTGTGGGAACACTTTTCAATGGAAAACAATGATGCTGAAACGGCATCTTGCAAAACCTGCAAACTGGTTGTTTCTCGTGGTGGGAACAGCAGGGCTCGCTTTAACACCACCAACCTGTCGTTTAGAAACAAATAAAGAAATAAAGCTATCGGATCGGTATCGGAAAGAATAATCATTAAAAAAATCTGATTTTATCAGGAGCCAAAAATCTGGATCAGGACATCCCTATTAAAAACATGAAGGTCCTCACTGTGCAGCAGAAACAAGCACAAGCACACACACACTTACATCCTTGTTCTGCCTTCAAACTGAGGACTTTGTATTGACTTTTGTTCWTTGTTGTAACTACATTTATGCCTRACCCAGACATGTTCCCTAACCTTAACTCAGTTCACATCTCAGTCCTAAACCTATCCCCTGACCCACCCCCCATGGGGACTAGGCTTAGGTCCCCATAAGTAGCGGTTGGTTCCCACATAGTAGGTGTGCATGCCAAAAATGATCCCAACGTTAGTGAATAATCGCCCACTGTAGAACTGAAAATAAAAAGTGAGGACCGGGAAAATGTCCTCACTTTGTTGGTTAAAAGCATGATGGTCTTCATTCCATAGCAGAAACAAGTACACACACACACACACACACACACACACACACACACACACACACACACACACACA